TTTAGGGTTCAGGTTTGGGGTTTAGGATGATACGCTTTTCCCGGCGTATCTGTCGGTATTCCTTAGTAAAGCCGAACCAGCGGGGAACGGTGTGCAGTTTGTGATGACATGGTTGCCGGGGCGCCCGGCAACATGCGCCTAAGAGGCAGGGTTCCAAATCGCTCCGCGCCCTAAATCCCAAAGCTCCTATTCCTAAACCCTAAACCCTAAACCCTAAGCCCTAAACCCTAAACCCTAAACCCTAAACCCTAAACTACGTAGGACCGTGGCCGAGTTTTTGCACCGGAACTGCTTTCGCCATGCTCTTGAGTACGACAGCGCAGGATGGTCTCCCCTGTGTTATGCCTGCATGAGTGGAGACCTGGCTCCGGTTTAGGGTTTAGGGTTTCGGGTTTAGGATTTAGGGTTTCGGGTTTAGGATTTAGGGTTTAGGGTTTAGGGTTTAAGGTTTAGGGTTTAGGGTTTGGTGTAGATTTCAAGCCTTCAGGCTGGGTTTTGGGTTTGAGGTTTGGGGTCTACGATTTAGGGTCTTGGTTGAAGGTTTAGGGTTTGAGGTCAAGGGTAGAACAAAACTGTGAATCTGCCTTAGAGCTGTAGGATTCGGTGCTTTTTAGGGTTTTTCAGGTATTGCGACGCCTTGTTCAAGCTGCCAGAATCGCCGAAAGAGAAGGGCTGAGAGAAGCAATGACCTGAACCCTAAGCTCTTATCCCTGAAGCCTTAGCGCTTAGGCCCCGAAGCCCAAAACACTGAGCCCTAAAGCCTTCAATGCGAGACTCAGGTGACCTTCCGGTCATTCGAGGACTCTTGGAAGTATCGGCCGATGCGAATGATCAAACGAGAAAGGCGCAGCCAATCTTGGCTCTCTTTGCAGCCAACACCGTTCTCGGTCTCTGCGCTTTGTTCCAGAACAACGATGCTATGAAGTTGCTAATTTCAGCCAAAGCGAAGGTGCGATTTTCAGAAACTGAGGGGTGCGTTACTCAGGATCTATATAGGGATCTTTCACTTCCTGAAAGACGTCTGAAATTTCCAGGGGAATGCCCGCAAAGGCACCTTCCCGCCTATACTTGGTGCCATCTTTGCCAACAACGTAGAGGGTATCCGGATCTTACGTCAGCACGGAGCCTCTGCAAACGTCGCAGCGCCAACAGGGATTTCAGCGGTGCAGCAAGCCTGTACAACTGGCAGCTTGGAGGTCCTCCAAGTCTTACTCTTTGAGACTGAGAGTAGGCTGCCGTTGACGCAAGCGCTACACCATGCCGCAATATTTCAAGACAGCTCTGCCAAGATCGTTCGAATGCTGGTTTCAGCAAGGGCCGATATCAACGAGCAGTACAAAGGGTCGTTCCGGACGGTGCTGGGGCTTGTTCTCCGCATGAGGGGACTTCAATACAAGTTGGGTGGCAAGGCAACAAAGTCAAGATTCTTGGGATACCACCATCTTGGTGCCACCCCACTCATGATGGCCATATTGGCCGGGCAGTTTGAATGTGCTGCTGCCCTCGCCGTGGCTGGAGCCCGCCTAGATCTCCAAAACGCAAGGAGAAAGAAGGCTGAGGATCTGGCTAAGCAGTTGGATGTGCCAGAAACTTCGTAGTCCAACCAGTATACCCTGAGCTTTGTGATATGAGCTAATTTTAAGGGATGCCCTAACAGGCCTGAATTCCGAATGAGGATCCACCTGAACTTCCCTCCCAAACTGAACAAGCAAGGAATTCTTGATGGAAGCCCTGCATGGGCGAGTGGAGAGATGTGCAGCAGTGGTCTCTCTCGCCACTTCACAAGACAAGTGTCACGATGCACCCGAAGAAGACTATTTCGAGGTGTGAGGATGCTCGAGGCTTTCACCATATGGATGTCGTTCCAAACTAGGGTCCCTTTAAGGAGTCCTTGTTGTAGCAAATTCGCTTGATAATAGGCGCCGTTCAAGGGGCCCACATGGAGTTTAAGGTTTAGAACAACCCACTTATGGGGAGCTCTGCCAGGGGGAACTGCTGTAGTAAGTGTTTCTTAGGAATCATGTTCCATCTTTCCTATGACAAACTCCAGGGAATGATTGAAATCAATACATTAATATCCCTAAACCCTAGACCCTAAACCCTAAACCCTCAAATTTAATTATGGATGCTTCGGGAAGGGAACCGCACGGTTTCACCTTGACCCGGTCTTTTATGCGCTCGCCGGTCCGGTTTAGCAATCCGCGAGGAAGCAGACATTGCCGGGGTGCAAAAGATCCTGAGACTTCAATGCCACTTCCGAAACAGCTTACTCCTAAACCCTAAACCCTTAAATCCTTAAACCCTAAACCCTAAACCCTAAAGCCTTTTTCTAAACTGCCAAAAAAACCCGAATCCTCCTCAGGCCCTGCTTGACCCCCAAGCCTCGACCCTAGCTTCCTAAAGCCTAGACGCTGGGCCCAAATCCTGAACTGTAGAAGTACAGTCGTCGTCGCCGTCGCAGGTGGTAGTGGTAGTAGTAGTAGTAGTAGCAGTAGTAGCAGTAGTAGTAGTAGTAGTAGTAGTAGTAGCAGCAGCAGCAGCAGCAGCAGTTGTAGTGGTTGTAGTAGTAGCTAGCAGCAGTAGTCTCCTAACAGCCTGAGCATCCTAAACCCTAAACCTAAATTCCTCGAAGCCTAATCAATCCCAAATCCCAAAAACCTAAATCCCAGACTTCTCGAATTCCACCCCTCTCTTCAGAGTGCCGCTGCAGAGCAGGGTTTACACCCTAAACCGGAAGGCCCCAAGCCTTAAAGTCATACACGCTAAACCCAGGTTTAGGGTTGAGGGGTTTAGGGTTTAGAGGTTTAGGGGTAGGGGTTTGGGGTTCCTAAACCCTAGACCATAAACCTTCCAACTCCCTGGCACAGGGGAACATGGCGGGCGTTCCTGGGAATGGAGTCGCCTCGCTTTGCCAACCGCGCCTCGGCCGGCTGTGGTGTTTGGGGCGCAGGTTTAGGGTGTAGGGTTTAGGGAAGTGCTTTCGGGATTGGAAGAGGTTTCTATCTATATATATATATATATTTATTTTTTTCTTT